CTTTAGTTCCTGACTTTTTAATTATGACACATTTGACCATGAATTTGAATCTTATTCCAAATAAGGACATTGAAGATACCATTGCTTATTTTCTAGGGCAAAATTGTCAATTTGATAAAATATAAACTAATTTGACAAAAATAATGTCAAAAAAATATTTTTGAATTTTTAAAAATTATTTCTACTCACTAAAGATAAAATTATGCAAAATTGATATATCTTTTAGACATTTATTTATTTTACCAAATTAATTTTTATTATGTGTTTAGATAATGATTATGTAATGGGTGATTGTTTTTATTTTCGTTAAATTAGTTTCTAGTTTTTCTAAAAGTCAAATATTGCGACAACTTTGATATCATTATTAAACCAATCCATTAAATCAAAAAATCCAAAACTAAAAACATTTCATATATTAAATATATCAATTACTCATTAAAATCCTAACAATCATCCATTATATGATCATCATCCAAACACATAATAAAAATTAATTTAGTAAAATAAATAAATAAATGTCTAAAAGATTTATCAGTTTTACATAATTTTATCTTTGGTAAGTAGAAATAATTTTTAAAATTTAAAAAATATTTTTTTGACATTGATTTTGTCAAATTAGTGTATATTTTTATCAAATTGACGATTTTACTTTTGAAATTAAGCAACAACATATTTAATTATCCTTATTTGGAACAAGATTCAAAATTCAGGATCAAATGTCCCACAATTGAAAAGTTAAGGATCAAAGTGACATAAGTCTCAAACTATAGGGACAATTAGTGTAATTCGCCCTAGTTTGTAAATATATTTTGAAAGTGTATATATGAGATAAAGTTTCCCTTGATTAAAACCGAGCTATATATAATAGAATTTCATAGAGGTAGGTGGATTAGAGGGTTAGCCTTAAAAAAAATGATTTAGAACCCAGTTACAACTAGTAGGCATATTGATTATTGACCACTTCATAAGCCTTTTATTTTATTTTATTTTTATATTTTATTGTCAATTGGGGATTATAAATTACACAACGTGTGGAGGGTATGATGGAGGAATGGTGGTGATTATTTACACACGTAATATATGTATATATATATATATATAAAATAAATTCACAAATCACACGATTAAAGAAGTAAAGTGTCAAAGTCAATCAAGGTGTCCCTTATAACTCTATTCCAAACAAACACAGCCTTGTTTACGTATTGTAATTGTGTCACGTTGACAATAACACCTCATTAACGTATGATTGACTATAACGGAATAAATAAAATAAATAAAATTAAAAATTAAAAAAATAAAAACGAAGAAGAAGAAAGAAAGAAAGAAAGAAAGAAACAGAAGACAATAATTGCAAAAGAAAGGGAATCAAAATAATTGATCTACTATAAGAGCTTTAAAAAAAATTACAAAATTTATGAACAAAATTACAGTATTACCCCTTCTATTTTTTACCCTATCCCCACTCTCTCCTCTCATCCTTCTCCTCCTTATCTGTACGGTTCAGGTATAAATTTCACCCACTTATCCATATTTGATTGATTTTAGATGTGGTCTTATTGTCTTAGAGGTTGAATTTTTAATCTAAGTTACCGTTGTGGTCATTGTAATCATCGTTGTTGTTGCGAGGGAAATGTCCCGAGATTTAAAGAAATGAATTTGGGAATTGTTATTGTGAGATTGGAAGTGAATTTGAGATTTTTTCAATTTGCGATCAATGAGCAATCCATCAATTGCCCCACCTGAGTAAAATGTGTGTTTTCATTCAGTAGCTAGCAATCGATAGCCGATCGATTGCTTCATTTTCATAGACCAACGATTGAGAGGAAATTGAGAGATCAATTCCTCTGGAAAGCAATCGATCATTATCCTAACAGCGATCGATTGCTTCATTTTCATAGACCAACGACTGAGAGGAGATCGATGGGGGATCAATTCCTCTGGAAAGCAATCGATCATTATCCTAAGAGCAATCGGTTGCTTGGGCAAAAAAGTGTTGAGTACACTTTTTTCTCTTTTCTCTTCCTCTTTCTTCTCATTTTCTATTTGAATTTCTCTTTCTTTAGATTTATTTTCTCTCCACCATTAATATTCCACCAAAGCTTGGATTTGAAGGCTTTAGAGTTTGAGTTAATCTCTAACTCGAGTTCTAACGGTGTAGAGCTTAATGAGGACTACATATCTATTGGTGTAGATTTTTTATTTGATTACTTTCAAGAATTTTCTTCTCTTCAATTTTTGAGATAGGAATTTCTTTAACTTGTTTAATATGAATTTATACTTGGATATGTAGTAGTTTTTTTGCACAAATTGTAGAATGTATAGAGATTTTAAAAGCATGTGTAGTAGAGACTTAGGATATGAGCAATGTTGGTTATTTCTCCATATTTTTACTATCAAATGTATCTTATAGCATTAGGATGCTTCAATTTGAAAAAGTCTCAATTTTCTTAAAATCCTAATTTGAGAAATTTCTTTGTTATCGTTGATAATTGTGTCTATACATGGAAATGGAATCAAATTCTTCAATTTTGGCTATTTGTATATTCTAAAGATTGTGAATTGTTGGTAATTAATGGAAAATTGAAATATTCTTTGTAGAAATCACCAACTTAGGTGAATTTAAACTCAATTTGATGACAAATTGATTGTTGACTCATTAAATTTGGAAAACTAATTGTTGAATGGTGAAATGTTGCAAATGTTTTGATGATCGAAAATATATGTGTTGCATTTGTTTCTGGAACCTAATTGATTTGAATTGAATAATAATGTTGAATCTGGAGAGTGTATAGAGATGAGATTAAGTTGGTGAGGTGTCCACTGTGAAAGACTGAAAATTCGCATAAAGTGGGTAGCAATTTGCTTCCTGTTGTCAACCGATAAAGTGAGGGTATTTAGGTGGTACTTTGCGAGATCACTGGCAAATACATTGACCTAGGCATTCATCTTAATATAAAATGATTAATTTTGTTGATTTGAAACATTTATCAAACTTCACGTTTAATTATGAGATTTTGAGATAACGATCATTATGAATGAACGATGGATTTGAAATTAATATAAGCTCATTGTATAACATCATAATAATATACATTTGTAGAGTTATATTATTGAAAATAAAGTTCTCTCTATTGGATTGTATATTCATACTACGTTTTTGAATTCCTTCAAGTACTGATGGTGAACGACAACCATGAATTGGTGTGGAAATGTAAGCATGTGCTACAAGAGTTTCATTTTTTGTTGTCCTAGGGCCTTTATTTTGTTAGTCATTTACCATTTCTTTTGTAAGGATTAAACCTTTTTATATGATGTTTGTAATGAATATGACCTTATGTATTGAATAATGAATATATAAACAGAGGGTGATCTTGTAAATCTGGGATGTGACACTTCCCACCCATCTCCGGCAGGCAATCGCCCTTCCTCTACCCTTCCCAACAACCCACAATCCCATTCTTGCCAATTTTCACCCTTTTATACCTCTTCTAACCCCTTTCTCTATCGCCTGCTACTAACCCCCTTAAAACTTCTCAACATCTTCAATACTCTTTTCCCACCGCCATAGCCAATCTTCGTCTCGCATCTCTTTTCTTTTCCCACCTTTTAAAAACCCTAATCCTAATGTCTTTAATAGTGCCACCGCCATTAAATTGTTGCAATCTTAACCTGTGGTTGTCACCGTTGAGATCTTGAATCCTAATTGTCTGTGACAGCGGCAGGATGTCAAACCTTAATTGCCTATATATAAGAAAAAAGTGATGAAAAATGAGCTTAGGATTATAGAGTAAGGATTGGTGAGGTTGGGACAAACAGTGATTGGCAATGGTGGGGGAGGGTTGGCTAGGGGTTGAGAAAGGTAGAAGAGGGGTGGTTATCGGCGAGAGATGGTGGGGAGAGTAATTTGGCTTATATAGAAGAAAGAAAAGAGGAACAAGAGAAAATTAAAGCAAAAAATTATCAGGGCAATATTGTAATTTTGCTTCATAATTTTGTAATTTTTTAAAAGTTTCCACGGGGATGAAAGTACTATATTGATTTCTTTCCATCATTCTCTCAAATTTTCACTTTTCTACAATTTCCACTATGATTAATGTCGAAATAGTTATTTAAATATTTTAATAATTTTTAAATTTATGCGATGTTTTGCAATTAAATTTTATATTTTCATTCATCAAAATAATTATGATTTAATATTGATTGATTACCCTTTAACTAACCTTAATCATAGATTTATGTACTTTATATAATTTTATTTGTATTATATATATTGAGTGTACCATATATAAGTTGTGACATTTTATAATTTTGATAAGATTTTATATCATAACCAATTCATTTTCAATCATAACACAAAAAATATTAGATGAATTATACTAACAGTTTCTATAATTTGGGTCTCGTTTCACTTTGATTTCTGACTTTTCAATTGCGATACATTTGATCATGAATTTGACAATTGAAAATATCATTCCTCAATTTCTAGGGCAAAATCGTTAATTCGATAAATATAAATTAATTTGACAAAAATAAATGTCAAAAAAAGTATTTTTAAATTTTTAAAAATTATTTTTACCCACCGAAGATAAAATTATGTAAAATTGATAAATCTTTAACGTATATAGTTATTTATTTATTTTACCAAATTAATTTTTATTATGTGTTTGAATGATGATCATGTAATGGGTGATTGTTAGACTTTTAATGTGTAATTAATATATTTCATAAATAAAATATTTTTAGTTTTAGATTTTTTAATTTAATGAATTGATTTAATAATAATAATATCAAAGTTATCGATATATTTAATTTTTTAAAAAATAAAATTTAATTTAATGAAAATAAAAAGATTTGACTAAAATATTTTTTTAAAAAAATTAATAAAGAGAAACGAAAATTCGTTTTAAAAAAAAATTAACCGTACAATTTTGTTCTACCACACCACGCTTGACTTGTTACAGACGGAAGAGAGAAGAAACAGAGTGGGGGAGGAAGGAGAATGGTCAAACGAAACCGGTGGCGCCGGTCAACAGTTGATAAACCCCCTCGCCCCTATATATATTTTCTCTCTCTTGAAATCTCTCTCTCATCTCTGTTGGGTTGGGTGGTTCGTCGCTCTGAATAATCTTTGAATTGTTTTCTTCACAAAGCTTGAGTTTCCCTGGTGGATTTTTCTCTGACAGTTTTACTTTTTCATTGACAAGCTTGGTGCACAGAAATGGCAGTAAGTTCATCACTTTTCTATTGATTCTTTTTCTTCCATCTTTTATATATATGTGAATATGAATATATGAATTTTTTGGTGTTTTTGTTTTCATGCTTTGTGTGTGTGGTAGTTCTTGTTTGTTGGGCTCTGCTTGTAGACTCTTTTTGTGGGTTGTGTTTCTTTGTTTTGGTATGGGGATTTAGGAACGAAGTTGGTTGGATGGTGTTAAATATTTTGTATGTGTAAAATTCCAGGTATTTGGTGATATGGGTTTGTGTTTTCTTCTGCTTAGAAACGCTGTGGACTTCGTAATCTGTTTAATGGACACGATCTAAGATCAGATTTTGTGTTTTTTTTATACAAGTCTGTTTCTTTCTTTTAAATTAGGAGAATTCTATTGTACACACCCCATACCATACCATACCATACCATACCATATGCATTCTTAGTACGCCATTTTCTTCTTCACTTATAAGGTGCATATGGTAATATGCCAATTGGCTAATTTATCAATATTCCATCAAGGACAGTGCTGCAACTTATTCACCAATATGATTTCATTTGCTTTGTGTTTGATGATTTAGGAAAGAAACTGAGAAATTTGGGAATTTGTACGTCTGGGTTTTGTTTATTGTTTGATAATAGGTTTGCGGAGTCGGTATATGCATATTTTTTTTTTCTTTTTGATGATTCCTGGAGGATCCTCAAGTTTGAGAATCAATTTGCAAAGTTGGGTCGTTCCTGTCTGAGATGTCGTGTACCTTTTGATTACTGTTAAAAGCTTTGACTAAAGCTTTTTGGGTTCTTTGGGCTTTTGAGTCTCTTGACTTTGACAGTTTATTATTGGATTCTTGCTGTATTGAGAATAGCTTCCCATTCTGAACCTTTTTCATTTTTTGACAAGGGAATTGCCGATGATTCCAACCAGCCATGTAGTTTTGAGGTTGGGCTAGGTCTTTCTGCCGTTTTGGGAAAATATCTTGGCCTCAAGTTCTGCTTTGGATCCTGTGTCTAGAAACTGAATCTATTGTTTTGCCATTCCTATGTCTTAGCAGTTATACCCGATTAATCCCAAACCTCAGTGTTACATCCAGACTCCCAATAATTGCATCAGATGAAATATATTAAATCACTGATCCTTCGGATCTATAGTCACTGTCTTTCTCTGTTGCAGCTTGGCAGTCAACAGGACTTGTAATTGTGCTTGCCTAAATGCTATGAATGACTGTAAAACATAATTTTTCATGAATAATATACATATTATATATATATATATATATCAAGCGTCTTGAACAGTACACACACATATATATCAAAGGTGAACAAACTTAATTTTCCATGTGAAATGATGACATACATGGCATGTTCATTCTATAGTATGTATTAGTCACTAAAAAAGACAGAAGACACATTTTTTGTTCAACAGCATTTGTCATCCTTCCTCCTTTGCATGATAGTTGGACCTTAAATGTATCTCTTTGATTGCTAAGTTACATGGTTTGTGTAGTTGAAGTTTCCCCATAATATACCAGATTACACATTGAGGATGCCGAGATGATTAGTTCATTCTTCTGCTTTTATATCATAGTCATAGAATATTAAACTATTCCGACATTTATGTTCTACAATGTTCTTCTTGATATGCTGAGCATGAGTTCTTCTCTGTATGTACAATACAATTTCTTTTGTGTGCATTTGTAATTGCAAAGGTTCTCCTTTCATCATGTAATAAGTTGCTGATATTTTTGCGGAGCTGCATATTCTGCATATATCCTTGTAATTGGCCTCTCTGTCTCTCTCTCTTTATCTCTCCATCTCTCTCTACTTTAAAAATGCCCATGCTTATACCCAATCATCATTTTTTACTTGGCTGTCTAATAGCATGTTATTTATGAGTTGTTATCTATAAAAAAAAAATGTCAACTATTTGTATGACAAGAAAGCTCATACTGTTAACTGTCGTGCATCATATATTTACCCATAATTGGTACCAAAGTTCTGCACCCAAAGTTAACCCTTAGGCCATATTTGTTTGAACGGACTGGATAAGAGGAATTGTAATCTATTGGACTGTTAACCATAGGATACATAATCCCTAAGCTATTTTGTTAGAAATGATGTATATCCCATGTTTGTTTAGTCGCAGGATTAAATATCAGAAAAAGAACTTCTTCTTTTTTTTTAAATTATTTTTTATTTTTGTTAAAAAAAATTAAAAATTAGTTTCTGAAAACTAAACCAAACATGTCCTAAGTAATTGGAGAGCAAAATTGTCGTTTTACTAGCTAAATCCATAGGAGGACTTGTCCAAGGTTTGTGTATCCCATCCCTCCTAGCAGGATAGGATAGTCCTGCATATGGGGGACTAACAGTCAAAGTATTAGTCCAACCTACAATTTTTCAACCAAACAATGGACTCCTTGATATGATGGACATGGAGTCCAATCCTTAATGTGTGTTTGGAAATTATGCTATTTCATTCATTGAAAGTGAAAACTCATGACTTTCAAAATGAAAGAAGAGCTCTTCAAATGACGGAAATGCAAAAAGTTGATGTTATATATTTTAGGGTGTGAGGTATTTGGATATGCTATTATGTTTCAAGAGTTGAGAGGTTGTGTATCAAATAGGTTAAGAAATAACATTGATATTGTTCCAACCCTTGTGCACAATTTTGTAGTTTTTCTTATTTTGCATTTCTCTATTGTTGATAATATTGGTAAAGCTTAAGATCATTCACTTGGGGAAAAAAAATTTCCGTAAGATATTGGAATGTGTAGAGAAATGAGAGAGTATGGGGTGACCCCTATATATTCACCACCAACATTAATGAAGGTTATGCCTTGAAGGTTGAATAAAACCTGTCCTAAAGCTAATATGAGCTGGGGAGCACTTAAGTACCGCATTTCCTTAGCAAGTTTAGAAAACTATATTCGCAAGAAGTCTGAAACAGATACTCGGGCTGAAATGTGAGTATTGACTTGGTGATGATATATAAAACCATCCATTGTGGATTCTTTTTTCAGATGTTCCAGGGAATCATTGAAGAACCCACAAAGAAGTCAAAACATGAAAAATTTAGAGGATAATAATGTGTTCATTTCCGCACTAATTTGCAAGGGGTACAATTAGAAAAGATAATCCTCAGTGATGGGCTAGTTTGACTGTTATATGTGATAAAACAGGAGTGAGATACTAAATTTAGTTAGCAACTTGTTGTTACAGAAGTAAAAACTTTGATATTTTTTTTTTGTTTTTGTTTTTATTTATTTATTTTTTTGCAATTTTATTTTCAGTTAAGTTTATGGCTGGAATGGTTGAACTGAATATTAACATTGAACTGATTATTAACATTGAATTTTTTTTACTCAATAACACAATGCCTCACCACTGCACAATGTGGGAGGTGCACTGGCAGAGCATATTGGTTCTGACTAGAATAAGCAATACTGAAAAGGTTTTGTATAAGTTTAGTTGTTGTGTTGTAAAATAAAATAGTATCAAATTGGAGGTGTGTCACTCATGTTGTATGAGATATGTTTATTTCAGACAGTTGGGACAGGACAGGATATTGTGATAGAGGATCCTACCCAAAGTTATCCACATTCCTTCTGATTCTCTCTTTTAGTGAGATTTGTTTGGTTTAGTTTTTCAAAACTGTTTCAAGTTTTGTTTTTCGTCTTTGGCGAAATGTTTTCATATTTTAATCATTTTTTTTTAAAACTTTCTAGATACTTAAAAAAAATAAAATACTTGTGAAGAAATCTAAATAAATTCTATAAATTTTAAAAATATATATATGAAAATGTACTTAATATTTGTATTTAGTGAATTTGTTTTTAGAATTTTTCACAAATTTTTTACTTTTTAAGTGTATCTAGATTAAGTAAATCTAAAAATTAAAATAATTTGATCAAAATGTTAAAAAAGTTCAATATCAAGACAAAAAAAAAACACTGAAAGCAAAAACTCAAAAGAAGAGTTTTGAGACTCAAAACCAAACAAAGGTTTAAATATTTGGTATGTAAACTACTTGACTTTAGACTATATGGTATGGAACCTTCGTGAGTTTGCTGTTGGAAGTTCTCTGAACATGTGTACGCCATGGATACAAACATAAGATATTTTTAAAAACTCATTAACCTTAAGAAGGGGCATAGTACTCTGCTGTTATGTTGCATTTTTTGTATTTATCATTATTTGCATGAATATATAAAATGTTTCAATGACAATCATCGACTATACATCTACCCTACAGCATCAGAATTATTATTTTTTTTTGGCAGGTAATATATTTTTTGGTGGATGTTAGAAAATGTTATTCAACAAAGCCTGCATCATTGATGCGGCTCTTGTACTGAATTTGGTTCTTGCATGTAGAAATATTTAATTCAGCAATGAAGTATTAGCAATCAATAATGGGAAAATATCCTTGTACTGCAATGTCATCTTACATAAAGTGCCTAATACACGTCACAAGGTTCTGAATATATAAAGTGCCCAATACATGTCACAAGGTTCTAAATGGAGCACTATGATCTGTTGTGACCCAGGTAGTCATCATTCAAAACCTTGTTCCGCCTTGGAACTTGTTATTTTTCCTAGTTCCATGAACCAGTTGTGACTTAAATGATTGATGGCCTGCACTGCTTACAGAAGGTGTCATGTAAAAATATTTGTACCATGAGAAGTTTGTAGATTTGTCTTTTTCCAAAATTGTTGCTTTTTAACTTTTAAACTAGCTTTATTCTTGATTAACTTATGGGTAAATGAATGTTTTTGTAGATGTTAATAATATTACCATGAGAAATAATAATGATCTTGTTATATTTGTAGCAACGCTCACATGTACCGAAGTTTGGCAACTGGGAAAGTGAAGAAAATGTTCCTTACACAGTCTACTTTGATAAGGCACGGAAGGGTAGAACTGGTGGGAAGATGATAAACCCAAATGACCCCCAAGACAATCCTGATATGTTTCCCAACATCGAGCCTCCAGCTCAAGCTCCTCCATCCGGGACCAGAACTGAACCAGAGGAACCACCAAGACGGGGAGCAGTAAGGACTGCACATGAGCATCAAGTAAGCAAGGAAGATGGTGACCTTAGGCAGTTCACTGAATCTCCCGCACGTAATGACAATATGGGCAGGAGGGTTTCTGGGGAGTCAGCACATCAACGTCATGGGGGGCGTGGATCAAGTTCTGGCCAACCTGTAAGACAAAGTGTTGGATCTGAACATAGCATAGAACGGTCACCACTTCATCCGCATCATCAAGCAAAGATCGTGGGAAAAGGTAGTGCATCTCCTTCCTGGGAAGGAAAGAACTCGTATGATGGTAGCCACGGCACTCCTGGAAGATCAAGATTGAAGCCTCGAGGCGATGAGACTGTAAGCTTTTCTCTGATTTACAATCATCCAAATTTCACAATTAGCATAAAAATGGAAATGGCATGTGTTAGAATTTCACTATCACCTACTTCACCCACTTAAACCTACTCCACTAAACCTAACCCACTACACCACTACCACCTCACCTACTCCACTAAACCTAACCCACTACACCACTACCACCTCCACTTCACCTACTCTTCACCTACTACACACTCAACCTCTTCTATATATAGGAATCATGAATCATTGTAATAGATATCGATATATCAATCAATAATAATACATACAATTTATTCTCTCTCTTTCTCTATACATTATTTCTTACAGCATGCTGTGATCATGTGTTTGTTTCTGTGGATAAATGGACAGAATGAAAAGTAATTGAATTCCTAAGCTATCTAGTAAATTTCTAAAGGCTCCTTTGTTTCAAACGACCTCGTTTGGTGGAAATTATTTTAACCTAAAAACTGACAATCAGAAAGCAGAAGCTAAAAGCATCCCTCCTCCAGTCTCTGGAAAATCAGTTTTTTTTCTAGCTAATTTGAATTATTTCTACCTAATAAGTATAAGTAGAAGTTACACCAAACAGTCTGACACAAAATCTCAAATTAAAATAAGCTAAAAGAAAAAAGAAAAAAAGGGCAAAAGAAGAAATCTAGGGCAAGTAGTTCCTTTGATTAACCAGCATTGGTCAAAACATGCATTTCACTGTTGTTGTTACCAACCAGTCCAATGCCAAAACAACTTTAATTCCTTTCCCCAATGATGAAATGATTTCCATCAAAACAAATTTCTATTAAATACTTATCCCCTTTTATCTATGAGGACTCTGACACTAAGTTCTAATTTTTGCAGCCTGATAGAGGTGCCGCTGTTCCAAAATTCGGGGAGTGGGATGAGAACAACCCTTCTTCAGCTGATGGATTTACTCATATTTTCAACAGAGTGCGAGAGGAAAGGCACACTGGGCCTGGAAATGCACCAGTTGCGGGTAATCAGCCATCTTATCCCAATGCACGGAAGCAAAACAATTATCAGAATACCAACAAGGTATGTTGATCAATCTCCTTTTTCAATCTAGTTTAATGAGGACTCTTATGGTGGTTCTTTGACATCTAAGAAGCACAAACTTTTTTGTGGAGGAAGCGTGTCGTGTCCCCAACACTCTTAAAAGCGTGATTGACACTTCTTCAATGTGTTTTTATTAAAAAATCAAATTCATTACACTCTACCGGCACTTGGTGGACACATGGCCATAATTCTTGAACCATTGGAATATGTTTTGAAACATTTATAAGATGAATAATAATTCTTGAACCATTGGAATATGTTTTGAAACATTTATAAGATGAATATGAATATTAAATATTATCATGTATATTTCAATGTTCTATAATTGTTTTATATTCTTTAGAATGTATTTGTTAGATGAATGATATCTTGATATTTAAGTTATGAAATATATAGCTTTGTAATGTAATTCGTGTACATCAGTTACATTTTTTTCATTATTTTTGAATAAATTATTCATATATATGTGACATATAATAAATTTCTAAAAATATAAAATTTTAGTATGTCCCAGACTTGTCGGCGTGTGTCCGTGTCTATGCTACTTAGTTTGACATTAATTTTGATTTTTTATTGTTCTTTGTTCTTTCACATTATTCCTGATTTCTACTTGTTCTTTTCCTCTTTCCTTTTCTCCAGAGTTGCTGCTTTCTTTGAATTTCCGAAAATGTTGTAAGGCGTGATCAAGCAAGCAAGCGAGACCTGTATATAGCTCTGAAGGCTTTACCTATGCAGAGCTTATGATGAGATATGGATTCTTTTCTTTTCCATGCTAGTGTGCTTTTACTGTTGCAATGAACTTGTGGTTATGATGAGAAAACATCTCTTCTTCTTCTTCTTCTTCTTCTTCTTCTATATTTCTTGTCGTCTTCTTGATGGTGGCTTTCAGCTGTAAGAAAACAAGACAGATTCTTTTATTTATTCCAATATCTTGCTTTTCATTTTTTTTTTCCCTGTAAGCATTTGTAACATTGTTTGCTATTGTTTTGTGTTTAAGCTACTGTATTTTTCACTGCTTTTGTTAGACCTGGAAAAATCTAGTCCAAACACTAACTCGGAAAAATTGGATATTGAGATGTTTTTCCTATTGTGGACCATCAAATCTTTTAAATTGAAGTTTAAATATTTGAATCTAATGTTGAGCAGGAATATTTTTGGAACTTTTTGTCTATTCTTGCCTATTTGTTTTTGCCATTTTTGGCTACTGGCCTTATAGAATGAGCTGATTATTGCGAGTATAGGGTCTTAAAGGTTGCAGTTTTGGAGTTTGAGCCGCAGAAGGGACTCTATAAGGGACTATCTATAAGCTAAGTTAAGATACCTTTGGAGAATTCCTACTGCAGAGGTGGTGTATTGAGTAATGGCACTTCTGGAGTGATCTGTATAGTCTGATGGCTCTTGTGCTTCCAAGCACTTCGAGCAGGCTTCTAAAGCTGGAAATGGGAATGTGACATGCCGTCATGGTAATAATTTGATATATATTGGGTTTAATTCTTAATCGTGAGAGTTTTTAGAACAATTAATGACTTAAACATGGTTACAAAGTTCATTTGAAGGTGGTCTTAAGTTCAAGTATTTTCCTTTGATTTGGCATTTGCATTTTTTTTACAACAAAGAAATGACCGCACAAACTTTATCTTAAATATTGTCAGCTCAGTCTTTCTTTTCGAGTTCAATTGATATTTTTTTATTGTTTGTGGGAGATAAATGTTAGATATATTGGGTTTGTGTTACAGCCTCATATAATTATCGGTGTTTTACATGAATTTGTATCATTATCTATAAATAGGAAATTTATGAAAATTTTAAAGGTGTGAGATTGAGAGAATTTGTACAGATATAGGGCAGATAGAAAGATACTGTGGGTACAAGTGTGAGTAGGGAAGTAGTTGTGGCTTCAGGATTCAGTTACTCTTGAGTGGGGAAAACGTATATTATTTTTGGAACTGGGATTATTTCAGGTCAGATATTGATATTAGTTTTTGGAGTATGTTTAGGTGTTGTTTGGGGTGTTCTAAATAAGTATACTTTTTGTCTTTTTGGACTAAAAAATTGAGGAAGAAAATATAGATGTTTGGGTTAACTTTTTAACTTTTTATATGGAAAAATGTGTAATAAAAAATTGTAAAAATTGGTTTGTAAGAGAAAATTAGGATTGAGAGTTGTACAGCCGTAATAGTTGACTTTTGGTGAATAGTGTTAATTTTTTAACTTTTTGAATAACTTTTTGACTTTTTAACTTTTCCTGAACATGCCAAACTTGACCTTAGTCTCATGGTTGTACTCTCTATAATTATATAGTAGATTTTTCTGTTACTTGTAGACGTAGGCAAATTAATACCAAATCGAGTAAATCTCTATATGATTGTTTTTGTCTTTTATGTGCTTTTCTTAACATTTTAGGATGTGGGAAAATCCCTAACATGAACTTTGGTGTTAGCACAATTGTCTTGTAATTAGGTGTCGCCAATGGGACAGGCTGGCCTTACCTGGCCTGTAGCTATTGTGTACATGTCTCATATATTATTGGGTTTTTAGGCTTTGACCAGTCAACGGACTGATACGGGCCAAGTTTATTTAAAAAAAAAAATGAAAATCACGTTCCACTCGTAAACCAAATGTTATGCGCCAAAATCAAAATAAACCGTGTTACGTATTTTTTATTATTATTAAGTTATACACATTTATTTTATTTTTTTAATAATTCATATGATCAAATTAGTTAATACTATTAAAATAATTAAATTACAGTATAAATTAACCAAATTAATAAATTATGACAATGTTATATGTAAAAAGTTTAGAGTTAAAAAGATATCACCAGTCACTGTCAAATTTAATTTTAACAAATTGTATTTTGTGTATTTTTTTAAAGTACAATTTAAGGCAAATTATACAAATAGTCCCTATAGTTTGGGGCTTGTGTCACTTTGGTCCCTGACTTTTTAATTGTGACACATTTGACCCTGAATTTTGAATCTTGTTCCAAATAAGAACAATTGAAGATATCATTAGATTTTTCAAGGGTAAAATTGTCAAGTTTGATAAAATATAAACTAATTTGACAAAAATAAATATCAAACAAATATTTTTGAATTTTTAAAAATTATTTCTACCCACTAAAAATAAAATTATGTAAAATTGATAAATCTTTTAGACATTTATTTATTTTTTACCAAATTAATTTTTATTATGTGTTTGGATGATGATCATGTAAAATTAATTTTAAAAAATTAATCACGTAATTTTTATTAATTTTTATTAATCTTACATAATTTTATCACTGGTGGATAAAAATAATTTTTAAACAATTAAAAATATTTTTTTGACATTTATTTTTGTCAAATTAGTTTATATTTTATCAAATTGATGATTTTACCCTTGAAAAATCTAATGATATTTTCAAGTGTTCTTATTTAAAACAAGATTCAAAATTCATGGTTAAATGTGTCACAATTGAAAAGTCAAAGATTGAAGTGACACAAGTCTCAAACGATAGGGACTATTAATGTAATTAACCCTACAATTTACAAGGGCAATATGAATTGTCAATATATATATATATATATATATTTTTAATGAAACATTATTGATTTTAGTGGATTAAAATTAAATTTAATAGTATTATTATTTTTTTATAGTTTGACTCGGCTGATAAAGTCCAAAGCCACAGCCTATGAATTTAGGCAAAGCAAAATCCAATACACTTTGCGCCACCTTCGGCCTCTTCGTAAATTTATGTCAAGTTTGATAACTTAAAAATAATTTATTTTTTTATTATTTTTTTTTATCACATCATTTTTTTATTTTTTTACATATTTTTTCGTAAAAAAATAAAAAGTACACTTATTTAGGTTATTCTAAACATTTCCTTAATTTTACATGTGTTTCCTGTACCTAATTTATTGCGACAACAAAAAAATACTAAAGCAAAAAATAGATAAATATAATTATATTAACCTCAAGACCACGTAGTTTTACTTATGTTTCTTATGCCTAATTTATTTTTCCTATTTTCTTTTATTTATTTCCTCTTTTCCTTAAACCCAACGAATTAGCACACACCTTCATATATTTCAACATTGAAAATGTGCCAAGGGGACAAAACACAACACAAGTCTCGCAGCCCTAGCCCCTTTCACTCTCACATTGCAAATGTATCTAGAGATGTCTCTTTCGATATCGCTCACTCTGCCTCTCGCTCTATTGCTCGTCATGGTCGTCTGAAGAACTTTAATGGTACGAATCTCTCTTAATATCTCTCTCTCTCTCTCTCTCTCTCTAACCACACACTCATATATAGTAACTCAACTCACCTTTCGACAAAGCTTTGGTTCGAATCAATCCTTTCTTATCCGCTTATAGGTACTAACACTATGTTTGGTAACTACGTGTGCTGTTTTCTGACCATACTGCCAACCAGGTACTCAGCTGGAGAACACCGGCAGAATAGATTGCGCCCAAATGACCTATAACAAAAAGATGAGACTCCGGCGGTGGTTCTTCCACCCAGAGGCACTCTGACGATCAAGTCAATACTCAGTTATCTCTCAAAGATAACAATTAGTGCTTAACTCACTAGCCAAAATACCAAAAGCGCACCTTAGACCCACGAGGGTGCCTTACTTTTATAGCCAGCATTGACATGATCCCTGCAGAAGCCTAGCTTCAATGGACTCTGACTCACTGCTTATCGTGGACTCTCAAATAGATAGAGATAAACTCCCGAAGAGCTTTATCTTTATCCAGATTGAGGTCCTCCCCCATTCTAGGACTCTTATGACTTATTCGTTTATCCCGAACTCCAACATTCCCGCAAATAACCTCGGCCTAGCCGAGATCACCTCGGCATCATGATCAAGACACGTGGCACTTCGGTGCTACCTTGGCCACGTGTTGTCATTCAAAAAATATGTCCCTACAACTGCCCCCTAGGTTCTATTACCTCGGCATCCTGAAGTGATGGAACCTATATTATTTGACCATATAGCACATCGGCTAAGCTTGATCTACCCTTTATTACCGAGGTTATCACACATCGGCTTCCATATGACAAAAACTTATGTGTGTTTACATCAATGCTTTAAAACCAAGAACCAAATTTTTTCAAGTTCTTTAGCCGAGATCGTCCCCCCTAGCCGAGGTCTTTGCTTCATTAAATCAAGAACTCCAAGAGTTTCTACACGCATATGAGCTGTCACACACAATAACTCAACCATTTTTGCCACGCGTTTCTTCCCCATTAAATCGTACCTAACACACGCCATCAGGTTGCGTCGCTTCTGCATGCGCTGCCTAACAGGCACGTCGTCCAAGGCACATTCATTGTGGTTTGCCGCCCTTTCGTGTTTTTGATAAAATTCCGCCCTCTCTCTTCGCCGTTTTACTTTCATATCTTCGTCTTCACTCAAGTTCTTTCTCTCTACTCTCTCAAATCCTCCATTGTTTCAAGCTCTCCAGCTCTGCAACTTCTCCGTTCACCTCCTCCGGCGAAGCTTTTGCTGCCATCGTCTGACCCCGGCGTACTTCACACCGGCTTCATTTTCTTCAGTGAGTTTTCTATTTTCCCCTTCTTTAGTTTTGCATACTCTGTTGCCTCTGCTTATTCGTCGTGATGAATATATTCATAGTCTCCTGTCTTTGTCTGTGTTTCATTTTTCACCCTTCGTATACACACGCTCACATGCTGTTCACACTTTTGATATTCTTGATTTTTGCTTTCTAGGTTCTGAACCAAGTACAAATATTTGGTATTCTGCCACTATCTTTGGCTTTGTATATCTGTACATTTTTTGAAAAATGTTCTTAAATTCCTTCTGGCTTCTGAATCATGCTTTTTGCCCTGCTTTCTTGTTGTCTTTTCCAGATTCTTGCCTTCAATTCTTGTTTCCATAGTCTTAGTTTTGGGACTTGTTCTAGAACTTACAAACTTTAGGAAAAATTGAAACAAATTCCCTTTAAATCCTTAAAAAACTCTTGCCCCAGCATACGTTTAGGTTTTGCCGAGGCCCT